TTATAAAGCAGCGGAAAAACATTTGTCCTTACAATGCAAAATCTATTGAAAACTATGTAAAAAGAAAATTTCTAACAACTCTATCATAACTATCTAAGCTCAAAATCCAATCTTCAAGTCCATGCGATCGAGATCCATCTCTTGTGATTAGATTCATCTTGCTCTCTTATCAAGCTTCCTTTCTTTTCACCGATCCTTCAAAACATTCAAATGCAATCTTATCACATCATGTATTAAGAATCAATGAATAGGAACTTAATGGAGTTAGATAGTGGATTCTTACCTAAAGCGTAGTCATACTTTTGACTCTCCCATCTCTTAGATCTCTTAGGTAAATAGGGCAACTTCGTCTCCAATGCCCCTTCTCTTGGCAATAAAAGCAAATTGACTCTTTGGAACAACACATGGAACTACTTCAGACATCGCCTTTCTCTTATGATCAAACTTTTCGATCATTGCATGTCTTTCATTGCCATTGTCTATATCCATAGAGGTCTTGAAGGCAGATTCACCAATCAACTTTGCTTTTCTATTGCGCCAAACCATTGTTGATTCAGCAGCAATAAGCATATAGGTGAGATCTATAAGTGTCACGTCGTGGTTCATCATATAGTACTCTCTTACGAACTCACTATACGAGTTAGGAAGTGACTGAAGAACCCAATCAACAGCCATCCCTTCACAGACAACGGATCTATCAATGTGTGGCTTCATCCCTAAGACGTGTGCACACACCGACTTGCCCTCTTTATGTTTACTTGCCAAAAGGGCTTGAGTGATATTGAACCTTTCAATTTTACAATCTTGTGGGTTAGGGAGAATAATTGGAGGAGGAGGAGGAAGTGAAGCATGATTTCTTGTTCCTCGATCGAATCGTGGAATATCATCTTCATGTGGAATGCTTGTTCCACGGGATTTGAGAAGACCATAGTTGTCGAACTTTGACATCGGGAGAAAAACGAATTCAAGTTAGTTGATTGATTGAGTCCTTGGTAAATCACCCAAATGAAATTCCAAGGCTAGGACCCAACACAATATCCTACAACTCGGGAGAGGGATGCCGTAACCCAAATTGCAGAACATTTGAAGGTAAGTGAATGACGATTCACTAATTTCCACCATGAAAAACGAAAAAGAAATTTAAGTTTTAAATCTATGAAAACTCCTAGATCCTTTGAGATTCATTGAACATTTCAATGGCATGTTTAAATCTCGATATGCCCCTCTTGTTTGTGACTGGGATGCCGAGGATCACAAAGCGGGTGTGAATAACCATGCAAACTACATGGTGCCCTCACATGTTACAATCACCTATTCGATGTGCCGGTAAACCACACACGCTCCACCGAACTATGACAAACATTGAGTCACCCTTTGCTACCTTTGCTTAGAACCATTTAGTGTGCCGGTAAACCACACACGCTCCACTAACGTCTTCGCAAGGGCACAAAGTGTAATTTCATGGAATTGCATCAATTCACTTTTGCCTAAGTAACTAAGATTGGGAATTTGAAAAACATTTAGTTACTTTGTATTTCATTATACTTATAATGGAAGGTTTCGTCCTATCCTACCCGTTCGGCTAACGACCCTCCACTAGTCAAGAGTGCGGTGGGTAAGAGTGGATACCCATTCAATCGCCATTTTATAGGCAATTTCCTTAAACACCCCTTATAGACCAGCTTCGTGAATGAGGCCTACTAACGGTAAGACTGACTTTTACTCATACATATATATAATGTTAGACTTTTAATGTTATATATAGTATAGGGTGTATTTTATACTTTTAAAATACTATATGGTTAACTTTAACAATTACACTTTTAATTCAATTAAAAGGTTAACCTAAACTTTTATGGATTTATTAAACCTCTTTTAATTATACTCCTTAATTAATTAATAAAACCATAAGGGTGTGATTTGAACTTTTCAAAACATTACTAGGTTTTAGAATTTAACATTTCTAATTAAACTTTTAATCAACTTTTAAATTCCAAAACTTGAGGGCAAGTTTTGAAACATTTCAAAACATTACTTAAATTTAAATTCATCAAAATTAAACTTTTAATCAAATTTAAATTCCAAAACTGAGGGCAATTTTGAAACCTTTTTCAAAACAAGGTTTTAACTATTTAAATTTCAAAACAAAAACTTTTGGGTTCAAATTTAAACTATAAAACCTAAAGGGATAAATTGAAACTATTTCACAAGATAATTCAAATCTAAATTACAAATAATCAAACTTTATCTAATAAAACAAGTGATTATCTAAATTTTGACAATTATCTTCTATTTAGGTAAGGATAATCACATAATAATGAAAAAATTCGGATTTTATCACAAAAACGAGTTTATGGTAATTATCCAAAACCAAAACAGGAAGAAAATCGCGAAAACGAGCTGTCAGACACTTTGACTCGTCGAGTCTGGGCTTGGACTCGTCGAGTCAGCTGACTCGGCGAGTTCACCAAGTGACTCGGCGAGTCAAACCTTCAAAACTCAAAAAATCGATTTTCAGTTATTATCAATGCATCAATACAATGAAACCAAGCTAGGCTCTGATACCACTGATGGGTTTTGGTCATAAGACATCCTATGTGCTCATACAAACCCTAATGCTTGGATCTAGGTTTCTCTATTGTACATGCTTTGAATCCAAGACTATAAACCCTAATTCTAGCATACAATAATCATATTAATATGTAATTAGGTTTAAGATCATACCTTGATTGTTATGTAGCAATAACAATCCCAATCTCCTTGTATTGACTTTGGAATGCTTAGAGTCACAAGTGTCACTCCTCTAATGGCTCACAAACACCATAAGCAAATGGAGAAGGTATAAAGAGAGAGGTGAGAGGTTAGAATTCGTATCTAGGACCTCTTGGGAAGGGATACACGAATTCATGACCCTAGGGGTGTTTATATAGGTGTAGAGATAGGGTTTCAGTCATTATCCTTATCTAGTTAATTATCCATTAAGCAACCAATAAGATAATCCTTGAATCCTTATCATACTCGAATTCTAAGGCTTTCCAACCTTAAATTCGTCCACCATATAAATAAGATAATCCTTACCTTATTTTGTAACTATCACATAATTACAAATCAGCCCCTCTAGTTTAATTAATTACATTTGGTCACAAAACTAATTCTTAATTAATTATTGACCAATATTAATTAAACAAATATGATTTCTCCTTTAATATATTATTCTTATAACATATTAATAAATCATATTATCCTCTCTCTTTATTCATTTCTCCAATCAAGTTGCTTTGGTGAAGGCAACCCAAAAGGACCATGCACCATCGGGTCAAGTACATACCAAAATAGTTATGGACTTAGACACTAATCCAACAATAGTAAGATATAGTATCTAGAAACTTAGGATCAGATATAATATCTAGGAATTTAAGATCACATTGTCTTGTCACTTATAGTATGTCCTAGTTTTGTCATAGTTTTTCATGCTTAAGTGGACAACAATACCGACAATCGACCAGACAAAGATGTGAATATGAAAGGTACCGACAAGCGGATAATGGTCGTCTAAAAACTTTGATCCCTAATCCTCAACAGGTTAAAACAATTTATATAGATTTAAATTGATTCTTTTCGTCAATAGAATTTTAAATCTCATTTTATTTTTTATTTTATTTTAAGTTTTTCCTTGAATCTTTGAAATTAAAATTCTATTAATCCTCAAAATAATTCATTTTTTAGAAAATTGTGAAGTGAAAGGGGTTTTGAGATAAATAATTAAAGGAAAAGGGGGAGAAAGTGAAAATTTTATGCATATATATAGTGTGCGTGTGCGGTGAATATCATTCAATCACTATTCCGCTTCAACCGCACACACATATAATTTCTCTCAATTTCTTTAAAATTCCATTAAATTTGTTGTGAAAACAAGCTGTTCACTCGGTAATTTTCATGAACACGGTTGAATTTTTAATTATTTTCACAAAAATCATTATAGTTTGCTGTTGAATCTTCATAAAAATTTGTTTCTTTTCAAGTGTAACCGCACACGGTGTGTGCGGCTGACCGTGTGCTGCTACACTCCTTCATGTAAAAGCGTGTGCGGCTGACCTTGTACAGTTGTACACATGCGTGTGCGGCTGTGTGTAACTCCGTGTGCGGCTGCATCATTCTTATATGTTGCCCTAATAATTTCATGTGTTAACTTTAAGATTAAAATGGGAGACATGGAGTTTGCTAAAGCTCATAATTCTGCAATTTTTCTTGAAGATCCTCCTACAGCCCACAATGACTTGAAATTCATTGTGGATGGTTTGAAGAAATCATGCCTGGTTCATTGCTTAACTACAAATCCTGCTATCTACCAAGGTTTGATTAAGGATTTCTGGAGAAATGCTGAAGTAAAGAAGAATGATCGAGGTGAAAAATTTCTGGAAACAATAATCGAAGACAAGAGAATTCTAGTTACAGAAAGCATCATCAGAGAATCTCTTCAAATTGAGGACATACCTGAGTACCTCATGGAGATTGAAGTTCATCAAATCGAGAAAGTTTAGGAGAATATGGGATACGAAGGAACTTTTCCTCCTACAATCAAAAAGTTGCTTCCTCCATGCTGGAAACTTTTGGCTCATGTGTTCGTGAGTTGCGTTTCTGGCCGAAGATCAGGAGCTAACGAGATTTCTCTAGCCAATACTGGTGCCATTGCTGCATTGGCAGCAGGTTTTGAGTTTAATTTCTCAAAATTCATAATGAATGAAATGATAATGAATATTGAAGGAAGCAAAAGAGACAAATTTTGTATGTATCCAAGATTTCTACAAATCATCCTTAACGTAACTCACCCCAAGTTGCAGAGAGGAAATGATACTCTGGATTTCAAATCCATTGGTCCAAGTGCCTATGGATTAATGAAGCAAAAGAGAGGCGGAAAATTTGTATTTGAAGGAAAATTTCCATTAATTAAATTTGGAATTTTTAAAGAGGATCTTAGAGAAGAAGCAGCAGATCATTCCATGCCGATGGAAAATGAAGACACTCATCACTCTCCCTCCGAGCCTGTAATGGAGGAGATTCATCACTCTCCCATAGCTTGTGTAGCTGATGAGCATGATTATCAGAAAGCAAATGATTCAATATCTTCTCGAGGGGATGACGACGATGATCTTTATGAAGATGTAGAGTTTTTGAAAGAAATCGACTTTACAGGAATCAATGATGATATTCCAACAAACATCGAGTTTGATTTTGGTGATGAAGATTTTAATCCTTTTCTTGATATTCCCAGCAGCCATGCAAATAAAGTCAATGAAGTTGCTTCTCTAGCAACCAAGACTAGAGATGAAGGAAATTCTCTCAAAATTCTGCTCTCTTCCTCAAAGCCTTTGGAAATCACAACAAGTCAAGGAGATGTGACATCAGAGATTCCTCCCTCTGTGTCACCTGTTTCAATATCAACTCCAGTCATTTCTATGTTATCTGAACCTCAGACTTCTCAGACCTCCATAAGAACAAGCCAATCTCTTGAGAGTCTGGAGGTACCCTCTGTGAAATGTGCTCCTCAAATTATCTCAACAATCACTGCAACCATTGCTTACTCTCCTTCAAAGCAGACTGATGAATGTCCATGCACCATGTTCGAGACTGGTGGATCCTCTTCTATTCCAGAATATTCTCCAACACGACCTTCTCTTGATGAAGCATCTATCAGATTAGTAAAACATTTAGCTCAATCTAGTCCAACCTCTTCACGTGGAAAAGGAATATCATTTAACGAGGGTCGGATAGATGATGACAAATCCTCTTCATCTGATCTCCGAGAAGAAATTGGAATTCTCCGTCAACAGCTCATTGAAAAATCTATTCAGATGGATCAGCTTTCTGCACATATTTTTGAGCTCAGGGCAAAAGATGAAGAAAAGACCAAACAAATCAAGGATCTACAAACGAGTCTCGATTTTGTTCTAGAAAACTATTTCAATCTCAAGAACGTATTGTACGATGCCTTTGGTGAGAAAGTCAAATCCCTTTTCCAACAGCCTCATGGAGTAGTTGATCCTCCTTCTGTTCAATCACCTCTTGCAACTGATGCTCTACCTGTTGACCCACCTGTTCCAAGAACAACTACCATTGTAGAAAGATTTGAAAAAGAACCTAAAGGAAGCAGAGCCAGAATCACAATCAAGCGGGCAAAAGAATCACAAAGCAAAGCAAAGGTCTTCTATTCATGAAAAACTCTAATGAAAATCGCAAAAAAAAGACCCTGTCTTGATAGTAACATATTTGAAGAAAAGAAAGTTTGGTGATGAGTACGATGACAGAACAGGCATCCGAATGTGGGCCTTTGATGCAGTGACGAACTTATGGGTTGTAAAGTGAAAATCAGGAGCATCTAAATGTTACAAAAGCACCCATGATTTCAACTCCTGGACCAAAACTGATCTAGCTGAATTATCTAGGGCCCCATTCCATAACCACTCTTAAGATCCAAATGCTTCAAATTTCAAAAGATTTCTCGACAGATAGGTCAAAGAGAACATTCCTTCAATGAAGACTGCCAAAGCCCTATACAAAAAGGACAAAGATGTTCTTGATCCAGAAACAGGCGAACCCATGAAGATTATACTTCGTCCTGCAACTAAGAAACAGAAGGAAATTCCTATTCCTCAACACTTTCATGAAGGATATCTAGATGACATGGAATTTTGCGCATATGATGACGAAATAGCTACTACGACCATAAAATTTAAGAATCGAGAACATATTCTAAGATTGATTAGTGTTAAAGATCTTCTACGCTGCAGAGAAAGGGATAAACGAACTTTGGCCCGTCATCAAATCATTTGCAAAAAGGATGTCATGGAATTTGCTGCTAAAGAATACACTGTAATGGTAGCTACAATTATAAATGGAAGATTGTGGATGGGTTCAATGGGGAGATCAGATCTGGGGTTGTTTGAGAAGCCCGCTGAGGAGCCAAAGGAGTGAAGACAAGACTATGCTAGCCTCAAACCAAGGGGGAGACTGAAAGAACATAATTTTGTGGTTTGACCTAGGCATCATTTTGTATAGATGATAGTGTCTTTTTAGAAGTGACTATGTGGTGTAGTGTAATGTGTGTTGCCGCACACAGTGTGTGCAGCAGCACACATATGTTGGGTTGCACTCTCTTGTGCTGGTGTGAGGAGTACTATTTATAGCAACTGAGGTGTGTTAGATTGTACTGATTTTTGCTGGTCTCAAAACTCTGCTGCAGTTGTACTTTTCTCAAGATGTACTTGACATTTACTGAATATAAATGTGTGCATGCTTGATTTTAATTATTCTTCTTCTACATATCTCCTTTATTATAATTAACTTCATTGATTGTTGAAATGGATCATTAAATTTGGGACTTACAATTTAGCATACATTTTTATTCATTTTTAGCTAATTATGTGTATAATGTGGACAAAAGGTACTTAATAATGCTTAAATTTTGTTTTCAGTCCAAAAGACATGCTTGGAAGTGAAATGGAACAAGGAGAAGCAATTAAAGACCAAAGAATGAAGAATGAGGGACAAAAGCATAGCTACTCGGCAAGTTCTCGATGCTACTCGGCGAGTACCCAAGAATATTCCAGAAGATAAGTCAAGACTCCTGGCATGAGACAGATTTTAAGCATTTACTCGCCGAGTTGGGTCTTCTACTCGCTGAGTACACCCTGTTTTGTGATAATTATAAATATCGAACCATTATCCGAATGGAAAGGACTTTTGGCAATTTTGAGAGCTGGACCTGCGAAAAAGAACCCTTTGAGGAGATAAGAAACCCTAACATTCAATCCTTTGAAGAATCAAGGCAATTTAGGTTATTCATTCTACTTAGCCTTAGGAATAAAGCATGTTTAGCCTAGTTGAATTTGTTTTTGAGTTTGTCTTTGCTATGACTATGAACTAAATTCATTTTGTTTCTGTTAGGGAAGACCAAGTTACTCCTATGGTTTAATTATACTTTTTGATTGATTGTTATTTGGTGATTTTATTAAATTAAGTTTGTTAAAGAACCTTATGCATTAATGACAACTATTTTCTGTTAATTGGAAGGCAATTAAGTTGCATGAACATCTCTTAATTATTAACCTCATATGTTATGTGAACACTTTATCATATGGCTAGGAATAATGAATATGAAACTAGGATTAATTAGAGAATGGGTATATTAATGTGTGAGCTTGTTTGAGAAACCAACAAACAAGAGGTTAATTGAAACACCAACTTGATTAACCAATTACAAATCTTATTTAATTCAAACAATTGAACTAGGGAATTAATTAGTTTAAACAATTGGCCACTGCTTGAATTGATTAATTGTTTAAGGGTTAGGAGTAATGAACATGAACCTAAGCACTATAGTTGGTAACCAATAATAATTGATTTATCATTTAAATAACCATAGGAGTGAATTGGTTGAACCTAAGTAGAAACCCTTTATTAAATTTGGTGAATTTGTCATTAACTTTAATTGTTTGTTAGTTAAGTGCTTAAGTGTTGTGTTTAAGTTTCCAGTCTTGTAAAACTAGAGAAAAAACCTTTTACTTTTATTATTTGCTTAGTTAAAATTAGTTATTAGATTAAATTCCATTCCCTGAGTTCGACACCCTACTTATCCACCTATACCACTAAAAGACAGGTTCACTGCCTTTGTGTGCTTAATTTATCAACTAAAAGGAGGATTAAAACTAGCTCATTTCACACACATTAAGTTTTTGGCGCCTTTACAGGGGAACATTTCTAAACAATTTATCTAATTCCTAATTTTTTCGATCCTTTGTGTGAGTTTACTTGCACAAAGTTAATTTATTACAGTTTAATAATTAGTTGTTAGGTTTTAGCATATGTTTTAGTTTTTATATTAAGCTTAGTTTTCTTTCAAAATTACACTGCTACTCGCCGAGTGCATTTGCACCTACTTGGCGAGTAGAGCAGTATTTTTCCTTTAATTTTCGTATTTTTTAGTTGCATTTTTTTTATTCTTTTTACGTTTTTATCTTGTTTTATTTCAGGACTTTCATGACCAGAGGATCAAAGACTCCGCTGGTACCCCCGTTTGAAGATCCCGAATCCTCATTGAGAAGGAACATAGGAAAGGACGTGGAGAGCTCGAATACACCTAAGAAGTCACCCTTGTCTAATTTAAAGACTGTTTTTGGGAAGAAAAAGAGCAGCAAAGCAGGTTCATCCAGCGCATCTTTAACAAGCGAAGACCTGATCAAGGAAGACACCAAGTACAACACCGAGGAGGAAGAAGAACCTACATATGGGCACGACTCTGATTCCGCCAACGAGTTAGCTCTTATCATGGATAACATTGATGAAATCCCCATGGGAGAGTGGAAGAAGAGGATACGCGATGACACCGGCCCGGGACTTGTGCAACCCGCAATTCCCACTACTGCTACGTTCGAGCTAAAGGGCCACATACTCGCCCATCTAAAGGAATTCCTTTCTACGGAAAAGACCACGAAGATTCCTACAAGCATTTGGATGAAGTCAATGATGTAGCTAATTACTTTAATGTTCCAAATGTGCCTCGCGAGACTCAGCTACTTCGCATGCTTCCGGTGACATTCATAGGTGCTGCAAAAGACTGGCGTGAGTCACTTCCCCCGGATCAATCACCACATGGGCCAAGATGAAAGAAGAAATCATTGATCACTTTTGCTCACCTTCCAAGATAGCCAAGTTGAAGAAGGCCATTGCTAACTTTGAACAACAAGCTGGAGAGTCGCTATGTGAAGCTCGAGAGAGGTACAAGAGCTTGCTAAGAAATTGCCCACACCATGACCTTAATAGCCAGCAAGAAGTCTCCATTTTCTATGATGGAGTCAATGTCACAACCAGGCAGTTACATGACTTGCAAGGCCCGCTCACAAAGAAGCCACCCACGGTGATCAAGGAATTGATTGAAGAATTCTCTAAGCACTCTAGAGAATACCATAATCCAAGAAATGATGTTACTAGGGGAGCCGCATATGCAGCTACTGAAGACTTGTCCGCGGTCATGGCTATGCTAAAAACCATGGATAGGAGGATGGATAAAATGGATCAAATGATCCATGCTATTCGGGTGGGTTGTGAAAATTGTAATGGACCTCATCTTACTAGAGACTGCGACTTGGATGAAAATGGAAACAAAAAGGTGCAAGTATGTTACTCAAGTGGGGACCGATATGATGAAGATTGGTGAAAACCAAAGAAAGAGTGTCTCCCATATGAAGAGTACAAGAAGGCTAAGGAGGAGAAGTACAAGCAGAAAGGAAGAGGTTTTTACCAAAAGGAGGAGCCTGCACAAGAAAGAAAACCAAGTTTGGAAGAGATGCTTACAAAATTTCTAGCTGCTTCAGAAAAGAGACATAGTGATCATGATGCTGCATTTCAAGAAACAAGAACTATCCTTAGAAACCAGCAAGCATCTATCCACAACATAGAAACGCAGCTAGGGCAACTTGCTCAACAAATAAACCAAAGATCACCGGGCGAACTTCCTAGTAAAACCGAAAATAACCCAGGAGGCGCGCACATAAATATAGTTACAACAAGAAGTGGGAAAATAATCACTCCTCTGGCCCCTATTCAGAATGAAGCACCCAAAGAATCGCAGAAGGAGGAAGTAGAAAATCAAGTCAAAAATCAAAATCTTCAAGGAACAGAGCCTACTCGCCGAGTACAGAACCTGCACTCGGCGAGTCCACTACCAAATCCGAAGGAGCAGACCCCTGAAAAGCATTACCAACCTCCATTTCCATATCCAGCCCGAGGTAAGAAAGAGAAGCAGGAAGAGGAGTACCAGAAGTTTCTAGATCATATCAAAGCTCTTCAAATCAACATACCCTTCATCGAAGTTGTCGTACAAATGCCCAAATATGCAAAATCCCTTAAAGAACTTCTCACTAAAAGAAGGAAGATGGAGCAAGTGAAAAAGGTAGTCCTCAATGAAAACTGTTCAGCTGCTATGCTAAATAAGCTACCAAAGAAGAAGGGACCCGGGGAGCTTAACTTTACCTTGCCAATTTGGCAACTTGGCTACGATTCATGCTTTGGCCGATTCGGGAGCAAGTGTAAACCTCATGCCATATTCATTCTTTAAGAAGCTGGATCTCCCAGAACCAAGGCCAATTTGTATGGCGATTCATTAACAAACAAGACAGTTACTTTTCCAAGAGGCATATGTGAAGACTTACTGGTCAAG